ACTATATTGGGGACCTAAACCCTAAACCCTAAACCCTCAACCCTAAACCCTAAACCCTAAACCCTAAACCCTAAACCCCAAAAGGGGACCCTAATTTAGAGAACTACCCAAGTGCATGGCTCAAGTGATAGCCGTAAGTGCCGGGCACTCTCCGAGGGTTACGCCAACCTTGGCTCAACGGTTTAGGGCTCAGGGTTTAGGGTTCAGGGTTCAGGGTTTAGGGTTTAGGGTTTAGGGTTTAGGGTTTAGGGTTTAGGGTTTAGGGTTTAGGGTTTAGGGTTTCCGGTTCAAGGTTTAGGGTTTAGGGTTTAGGGTTTCGGGTCAAAGCTCAGGCTTGCCGAAGAGTTCCGGCTTGCACAGCTTCAGGACCTGCAAGCAAGGAGCCGGATTGCAAAGCTCCCACTTCTTGTTCTTGTCCGTCGTAAAGCACCTTCTTCGTCTGGATTGGGCTCGAGGCCCCACAAGTCCCAGAAGGCAGAAAGGCGCATCAAAGGATCTACCGTAGCACTCCGGGTGCCACACATACTACGGCAAGGAAAGTGCACAGGAAACATAGCACAGCGTCATGAAATGGTAGACTCTCTCAGACTCCCCACCAGATCGTCGTGGCTGCCCCATCTGGGTTACGACCTGCTCCGTGTATGTATAGATCATGCGCCACTGAGCCATCTGAGATGTTGTTGCAGAGTTGGAATGCCAATCCAATTTATGCAATGACCGAAACATGTTGAGTTGGGCTTCCCACAGAAATTCTCTTCGAGCTCCGGGTACGCAGCCAAGTCATAGCCTGAGTTTGTCGGAGGGACCTACATGGATCCCGTGAAGACATGATGAAAGCCTTCGAGCAAAATTTTAGACAAGAAGCTGATGTTGTGGGGGGTGTCGTGGTCCCAACGCTGGCACGTGTAAAGGCTCCTGCTGCTTCTGCTGGCACTTTGCACCCCCTCCCTCATCTGTCGGTCCGCAGAAGGGGCAGAAAAGAAAGGATAGCTTCAGAGAATACGAGTGTTACGAGTGTGTGTAGACACAACGAAGCTTCGAAGAAAGTGTCCATGCTATACAGCATGTGTCTCTCACGACGATACGTACGCTTCTTGAGCAGATCACGGACTGTCTTGGGGTTCGTCAAGAGCATCGGTCCGTAGCTGTGTCACACAACGACCGCTGTCGTGCTCTCTGCCAAGAAATGCTAGCGAATGCAACAATGGTGGGAAAACAAGCTCTTCCCTGCATGTGTCATTTTGCTGCTACTACCATAGCTGCTGCTACTACTGCTACTGCGCAAGGACGAACCTTGCCTCCGATTAAGCCAAGACCAAACCAGCAAACTACAGAGGACGAAAAGCTACGCGAGAAGTGCACGACCTTACTCATTGAGCGTCCATTCTCGTTACAAGTGCTTCGCTCGTGTGTGTGCGTGTAGGGGAGAGCCACGTGACTCCGACACTCTCGTTGGCCCTGGCTCAGCTCATACGCTCAAACTTTGCCAGACGCCTCACCTTCCCGGTAATGATCCCTGTAATGGAAAACAGGAAACAGCACCGTGCTCCAAAGCACGCCATAGAAAGGAAACACAAAGAGAAGGGAACTCTTACTTGGGATGGAGAAGCAAATGCCCAAGGCTAATCCCATGATACTTCGCACATGCAAATCTGATAGAAGCAACATCCAGAAAGAGCCATATACTGCACTGAAGAGCATTGCTGGACCTCCACAAGACTGATCCGTTCCCGGCCTTTTTAGCACCAACCCATCCATAGAAATTGGGCGATGATCTGTGACTTGAGTTAGTTGCCTTCCGCGAGTGCCTTCTCAGGGTAAAGCTTACATGTTGAGTGTTGAGCTGCTCCTGTGTGGGAGTTTGCTCTTAAGTGGTTACGGAAAAATCTTGAAAGGACTGATTTCGTATACAGTGAGGTTGAGGCATGGTCCTGGTGAAGCGCTGGGCGCCGCGGTAGTCGCTGCCATTCCCGGAAAGCACTTCACTGCGTGCCACCGTGCCAGACCTTCACGCTCAGCTTTGAGGCGTCCTACTGCACATGGCCCTAAAACACAAAACCCAAAGCCCTAAACCCTAAACCTAAGCCCTAAAATAAAACTCCAAAACCCTCAGCCCATAAACCCCAAAGCCCCCAGGATAAAAAGACCGAAAGCCTCCAAAAATTGCTCAGGGCTTGGCACGGCGTTGGAGACTGCCACCACGGCTGTCGAGACCAAGGCCGAGCCTACAAAGACAAGAAAGCGCTGGGGATTTGGGGCTCACTGCAAAGGTCTTTAGGGTTTAGGGTTTAGGGTTTTAGAGTTTAGCTTTTGGCTTTTAGGGTTTAGGGTTTAGGGTTTAGGGTTTTAGGGTTTACGTTTTAAGGTTTAGGGTTTAGGGTGGTTTAGGGTTAGGGTTTAGGGGCTTACTGTATAGGGTTTTAGATGGCTTTGGGGTGTGGGATTCATTGATTGTAGGACGGTAGGATTTGGGGCTTAGGGCTTGATGGCGTGGAATGTTATGGGATTGCAGAGTTTGGGGCTTGGGCTTATAGGGTGGGCGGTTTAGGGTTCAGGGTTTGGATCTGCTGCCAAGTGGCTGGTTTCCAGCCCCGTCTCAAGGAGGCCGGCACCTTGACATTGGAAGCTCCGGATGAAGACCACGAGTCCTGAAACCGCCACAGCAGAGCCGCTCTCGTCCCTGGTCTTGGTCCTTCTTCCATCGCACATGCCCGAATCCACGACCTTGCCTCCAAAGGCTAAAGCTGCTGTTACCAGGAATATCGAGCACCAGACGACCTGGGCGAAATGAGCAGAAAATGTGTCTGAGCATTTTATGAGCAGCTTGGCCCCGAGCAACACCAACCAGAAAGCGGAGCGAGGCCAAAAAGACGAGACCAAGTATGAAGGAGAAGAAGCCAACCACCTGACTCCGTTCGCTTTGCGCTCATCAGACAGCGAGAATCGCGAAACCAAGCTTGGCCGGGATCCCAGCAAGGAAGGCATCCATGGTGGCCATCCTCAAATAGCAAGAATTCGATCCGGAGCGAGAAACCTCTAGCCTAAACCCTAAACCCCTCCGAGCTCTACTTTCTGTGATCTCCAACTCTCTCTGCTTGTCAAGGCTCAACTCGCTAAAGATGCCAGCCTGCGGGGCCGGAAAGTCCCAAACAGAAAACACACGGGCCGCAACCAATGGGTTTAGGGTTTACAGTAGGTTATATGGCAAGTTACAGGGTTATAGGGCTTTGGGTTGTTCTTTCGGCGGCCCTCCGCGCTCTGTGCGTGCGCGCTTTGGCGCCAACTCGAAAGACGATTTTCGCAACTGTCGGTGCACTAGAACATACTTCCAGTGAGGCCCTGTTAGGGGGTTGCGGTGTGGTGCGTTTTGTTTGTACTCTACTCCTTCCTTGGTATAGGACACGGTCTTTGAAGGAGCCTTCGAAAATTACTGAGCGCATTGGGTCAGAACGGGGCTGTTGGAATATTTGTACTGTGGTTTCCTACAGTGTACAGTGTATATAGAAGTGTGGTCGCGGGTTTTTCTGGGCAGTTAGCTCTGCGATACACTTCGTCATTTGAGACCTCGAGCAGAAAGAAGCCTTGATACCTACGACTCTTTGAAGGAACCGAAACCAGAAACCATCCACTCGTTTGAGGTCCAGGGCTTGGGGTTTGGGGCTCGGGGTTTAGGCCTTGCGGTTTGGAGCTTAGGGGGGTAGTTCCCTAAATTAGGGTCCC